TAGAAAAAGAAAGAATGTTCTTTGCCATGAGGCACGACATGTTACAAAAATACGCCGACAATATCAACCAAATAATTCTCAGTGTCGCTTTGAAGCTTGGGGTAACGTGTAGAGAATGAGACCCAAGACAAGAATCAAACTGCCAAATAGAAAATAGGGGCTCAAAGTTGAACCCTCTGGCAGATATGGCAACGGAATGGAAAGGATATAAATTGAAATCGGCACTGCAAAATAGACAGTCACATAATCAGGTGTTAGCTAAAATACGACGTTTAGGCAAAAGCATATTTGTGGAGTGAGAAAGGATGAGAGAGAAAACCTGATAACATAACGGCAAGAGAAGAAACAACTGCAGATGAAGTCTTCACTAGATTGAGCACTGATATGTTGAACATGAGGTTTGTAGCTATGTAAAGCAGTGGGAGCAATGGAGAACCGTCACAACCTGAAATCATACAAGAAATGGTTAGAGGGAAAAAAAAAACACAGAAGCACGTTAGAAAGCTTTCAAATTTAATTTGATTCAAACAAGCATAATTAATCACTTCCTGTTAAACTAACCATGAATATCTCAGACCAAAGTTTATCACTTTTAGCAAGACATTTACTCAGAGCAAAACACGAAACCAAAATAATTGATGTTTTCTGTACTGATGCTGTCGTTCTTATTATTTTGTTATAAACTCTCCATGGCTGATAACTTGAATCAAAATCATTCATGTCGAGCTTTCATTCTTAGTAAACAAAGTAACTTGTTTCTTTGTTTTGCAAAGCTGAATTATTTCAAACAAATAGGCGACAGAACAAAGTAATTGGTATGCTGTAATATATCAATGGAACGTGAGAATTTGCCTGATGTATTGGTTCCAACGTTCAGAAAGCAGCCAACACCACTTTCTAGATAAGAAGGAAGTTGGGCAAATGGTATGCCTTTCATGCTTGATAATAAAGGTAGAAAGAGAAGTACAAAAAGAGCCTACACAACAAAGAAAAGATTGATTAAAATTCAATTATACGACTGTCTTATAATACGTGTTCAGACTCACTATAAACAAGTGCTGCAGATAGTTAATATAAAAATAAATGGCAAAAAATTCTGAGTTCTAGTGTCTAGAAAATTTTATGTACCATGTCCTAAGACTTCCAAAAATGGATACCAACACAATAAAGCAAACAAAAACCATTTCACTATCACCTGATATCCAGATCCAAAAGAATTGACAACAAATATGTCAAGCGACTTGTCCTGCAAATGCAAACAGGTTTTAAAGCTTCAAACCAAAACCCAAATTTGCGAATGTAACATGTCAACAAGAGAGCAGTTACTCGGAAAAAGTAAAAGATGTCGAGGTACCTTAAGGCGAGCAGCAGCATCTATAAAGACAAATTCCTGTTCAAACAAATTAAAAGTTAAAATTTCTCATTCTGCTTAGAACAGAGTAGAAGTAAACGTATTCCAGCATCTGTTATTCTGACCTTGATAATGGATGCACCAGCTTGAAAAGCACATGAAGCAATCATCAATGCTGGCCATACAAACTCAACTCCAGATAGCATCTGATCAGCATTAGAACCACTGCAATTATGGCACATAACTAATTATATCGGGCCTACTTTACTGCAAGTTGTTGATCCATGGGAAATAGATAACAAGTTGGATGATATTCTTGGTCTTCATACTTTACTTCAGAGTTATGTGGGACAGTGAGGGCTTCCTTGTCTACTTGTTTTCACATTTAGTTTCAAAGCCAACTGTACAAGCCGATGAGGATCAAATTAAAAGATACCTTGTGACGGCCACAGCTACCCCAGTTGCTACTAGCAAGCAGCCAGCTATCTGACGGACTGTGTATGTTCTTCCCAAAATAAGGACGGAAAAGAACAGCTGCCATACTAAAAAAGTCTGCAAAATAAAGTGGATAAATGGTTATATTAACTACGTCATTTTGCAAACAACCTCATTTTGCAAACATTTTGGGAGATAATTTGTATTAAATACAAATAACATTTTGTTTAAGATTTCTTTTCTAACCATAAAAGGGAAAATAATTCTTTTCTTTTCTTTTTTCCCCGAATTAAAACAATAGACAGTACCTGATTCAATATGGGAATGGCTGGTCCAGGCAGCATGGCTGTCAAGGATGCATAAAATTTAGCACAATTAAACACGATCTCAACTCAATCTGCATAATTTAAACATTTTTTGTAGTAGCTATTTTGCTTCACCTTAATCATAGACAGAAAACCAAAGCGTTGTACCCAAATTCTATATACATCATCACTACCACGGTTTACATAACAAGAAAGAAAAGAAAAGCAAAATACATCAATACAAGCCAAAACACATGTCAAACGCAGATGCACAATTACTTTTTCTAAGCATACATATTTTTTCATCAAAATTGGACAGAAAGTTTACATAGTTTGTCACATTGCTTGCTGTTATGAAAAATTAAAACCCACTATCCCAAAAAATCCTAGAAGATTATTTCTTTTTCTCTAAACAACATTAATATTACCTGCAGAAGCCATTCCCAAAGCCACTCCAAGAGCTTCCAAAGCCCCAATAGCCACAAAGAGCCTCTTCGGTTGGTCAATCATTTCGTCGGTAACAATCCCTTCATTGTATCTCATATACAATATCAGAAAATACACCACCACATACCTGCGCTAATAAATCACAATTCACACACATTATCAACTTAAATCGCACTTTTTTCTTTTTTTTTCAACAACTACTCAAACCAAATTGCTCACCCAAAAGTCGTGAACTGAGCCAAGAAGAAAGGGTACTCCTTCATCGGGACGAGCGCGAGCTTGTAGAGCACGCGATTCGCGACGGCGAAGGCCACGGTCAGCGCGGAGCCGAACAGGATTTGCTGAGCGGTCGCGAAGGAAGACGGCGAAGGAGGAGGCGAGTTAGGGCCCGAACTAGAAGCCTGAGCGATGAAATCACCGCCATTGACGAGGTTGAGCTTGGGATTGAGCAAGATTCGCGGATTCCGACCAAAGTGAATAAGAGAGGATCGGGATTTCTGAGAGAGTGCCGTAAATGAATGGAAACGGGAAAGGATTGGGAGATTTCCAACGGAGAGAGTTCGGAGCCGCCATGGCATCGCTGGAGAAGGGGAGGGAGTAGAGAGCGGCGTTGAAGAGGAGAAGGCCATTTGAAGAGAGAGAGAGAGATGGAGCTCAGACGCAGAGTGAGAGAGTAGAAGAGAGAAAGTCGGCGGGTTTTGCGGTCATGGGAGATTGTCGGGAAAATGATGAGTTTAGATGGACCATGCAGCTTTTAATGACGTTCGGATTTTTTTTGTTTTTTGCTTTCTTTCTTGTTTGGGTCGGGGGTTTGGTGCACGAGTTTGCGTATGAACGAGGGAAACGTGTTGGAAATTGGAAATTTGAAGACAAGTGAGCAGTGAGCACCCCTGTTTATTCCTATGCCGATAGAATTAAAATCATGTTATTTATGTAGAGGGGGTGTCGTTAGGACGCTCTGGTTTATGTATTTAACATTATTTTTGTTTTATGTATATTTTTTATGTAAAAAATTATGAATTATGATTTAAATTTAGTGACGAATATAAGAAATAAATATCCCTTAAGTGAGTAGATAAGACTTAATCTAATGATATTTATTTTATTGTGCCTGTTTAGAATGATTTGATTTTTAATTTTGACGTTTAAAGTTTAAATTTTTTATGAGAAAAAAATACTGGAACAAAATCATAAATGATTTGAGTTTGAATAATATTAAAGAAAATTATAGATTATACTTTTTAAGTACATGATTTATTAAAAGTATAATTTTTAAAAAATTATATCCCTTAACTAGCTCTAGTCTAAAAGATAAAAATATATCGACTAATGTTAATGGATAAAAAAAAAGCTTCATTTTAAAGGATATTTTTAAAAATTGCCCTTTAGTATATGAAATAAACATATCTAATGGGATGAAATGTCATACAACAAGAGTAAATGTCCGTTTAGTTCGTTGATTCGAGTTGAGATGTGACTTTATGTGAGAATTTTTTACTGTAGTAAAAAAATAAATGTGAACATATGAGAATTTTTACTGTAATAAAATTCAAATTGATAAAATAAACGGGGCCTAAATATCATTGTTCTATTCATAATAAGTGAATGTCTGTAATTTTCCTCAAATTTTTATCTTTAAGTCTTTTCGTCAAGGGAATTTAATCTTTCATCTTAATTTGTCCTTAATAGAAAGAGTTTCATTGTCATTAATTATTAATGTTCAAAAAGTAATGTTACTTTCAGAGTTGTAGATGCATATTGGGTAATCAAAATTCGGAAGGCATATTCAATGGTAGGATTGTGCACGGTTTGTCTAAAACCACCAGATCAGATCAACCCAGTAAGCTTTAGACCGCCCGTCTAGTTTTAATAATGTCGGAACTGATCGATTGTCGGTGGCTAAAATCAGACCAACTGTTTTAATAAGGGTCCAGTTTGGTTTGGAAATTTTTATAAAAGATCCAAATTGGACTGAATTCATTTATATATACGAATTAAAAATTAAAAGATTAAAGAGTTATTTAGTTGGGAGATTCATATCCTAATTCAAATCATAGTTCATAATTTATTATAGTATTTTCTCTCATAAAAAATACACGTAAATTAAAAATTGTTCTAATATTATGATTACGTCAAAAAAATACATGTAATGTATGATTTTGTTTATTTGTTGATTTAAATTTTAGGCAAAGTCTCTGGTCAGGCACTTGGAAAGTGCCTGACCAAACCGACACTTGTATAAATATACGTGAAGTGTGTATATGATACGACCAACCTGCAAATTCTCAGAGGTCAGCCGTATTTTCACACTCTACCCACCATTGATGAGTTATTAGATGAACTAGGTGGTGCCATAGATATTCTAGTAACCGTTCCAGTGTGAAAGTTCTTCGTTATTCATTCTCCTCTCACAAGGTTTCCTATTCCACAACTTATACCTCTCCTCGGTGAACCCAATCGAGAGGCGAGACTACCCGTAAAACAGAAAGCAAATTACAGCCATTGACAGTAAAGGAAAAAAAACAAAAATAGAGAAATGAAAGTTCTGCCATCACTCCCGAGGACTAACGTCCTAGCTGCATCAAACGACACTCTCTCCTCCCTAAACGACATAGTCCTCTAACCACGCGGGAGGCCTTCTAGCTCGTGTTGGGCCTTTTGGGTTGCTGTTGTTCATCCTCTTGGGCTGGCCCTCTTCCTCTGCCATTGTTGTTTCAAGGCCCACGTCTGGAAGCTACATGGGCATGGTTTGGGTCGTATCATTTCCCGGTCCTTGAAAAGCCACCTTGTCCTCAAGGTGGAAATCAGGATAAGTGTGACAGAACACAATAAAATCTTCCCAGGTGGCATTTTCGGGCCCACTATCAGACCACTGCACCAAAATTTGGCGGTGCACTTTACCCTGTCGAAGGATGGATCGAGAAGCACAAACCGCCACTGGAACAGAAAGCGGTTTATTATCCACACTGCCTAATGAAAGGGGGGTACTGTCTGCAGGAGCAGAACCACGAAGAGGCTTGAGTGCTGAGATGTGAAAAACTGGGTGGATGCGGCAACCACTGGGTAAGTCAAGTTTGTAGGCCACTGGACCTATACGCTCCATGACATTATAAGGACCCTGCGGTTTTGGAGTTTCCTAAGTCGCTGCCCACGCCCATTTCATCGCTACTCCACCGTTATAGTGCTTTATTTGCGCAGCCCACTGGTTTACCCCCCTACCGGACCATTGATCACAGGATTCACTTGCTGCCTAACTCTAAACCAGTCAATGTGCGCCCTTACCGCTATCCACATTTCCAGGAAACGAAAATGGAGAAATTGATACAAGTACCTTGTCTCCCACTGCCAACTGAAGCTCCTGGCGATGAGCATTGGCTTTCTGGACCATCCGTTGCTGGGCCAAGTGTAAGTTATTCTTCAGGGTCTACAGGAGGAGATTACGCTCTAAGAGAGCCTCGTCCAGTGCTTGGATTGAAGTAGAGCCCTGTGAATACGGCGGAATAGTAGGCGGAACACGGCCGTATAAAGCTTGGGTTTTATTGGTTAAAAAGAAAGATGGCTCTTATCGTTTTTATGTTGATTACCGGGCCTTGAACGCGGTCACTATTAAAGACAAGTTTCCCATACCCACCATCGATGAGTTATTAGATGAACTAGGTGGTGCCACAGTGTTTAGCAAACTGGACTTGAGGGCGGGATACCATCAGATTCGGGTCCACACAAGGGACACATATAAAACGGCGTTTCGCACCCATGATGGTCACTTTGAGTTCTTGGTAATGCATTTCGGCTTGACGAATGCGCCATCAACCTTTCAAGCTACCATGAATCAACTTTTTGCCTCGTTTCTGCGCAAGTTCGTGATCATTTTTTTTGACGATATTCTCGTCTATAGTGCCACTGTGGCGGAGCATGTTTCTCACCTAGAGCAGGTGTTGCTTTGTTTACACTCCAAGCACTTCTTCATCAAGCTCTCGAAGTGCACTTTCTGCCAAGACACCATTGATTACTTAGGACACATAGTATCTGCCCAGGGAGTACAAGCTGACCCTCAAAAGCTTGAGGCCATGGTCGCCTGGCCTTGTCCGAAGAATGTGAAACAACTACGAGGTTTTTTGGGCTTGACCGGATATTACATACGTTTTATTCGCGGATATGCCACTATGGCTGCCCCCTCACTGATTTATTATGTAAAGAGTCTTTTCACTGGACTCTGGCAGCCTCCGAGGCCTTCACTATCCTCAAGCAGGCCATGGTGGCAGCACCGGTGTTGGGCTTGCCGAACTTTGATTTGGATTTTGTCATTGAGACGGATGCATCGAATGTGGGAATTGGCGCGGTTCTTATGCAGGCCAACCACCCCATCTTTTATTTTAGCAAGAAACTGGGCATCAAACTAAGGGCTGCGTCAACCTATATCAAAGAGCTAAATGCCATCTCAGCCGCTGTCCAGAAGTGGCGCCAATACCTTCTGGGCCAGTTCTTTATCGTACGAACAGATCACAAGAGTATTAAGGAGCTCTTCCAACAGGTCATCAATACCCCGGACCAGCAAGTCTACATTCGGAAGCTTTTGGGCTATCATTTTCGGATTGAATACAAACGAGGGAGCACTAACAAGGCGGCAGATGCCTTATCCCGGGTGCACGAGGAGCAGTCCACACACACAGTGGATGTTTCTCCCTCTTATTGGACGTTAGCCAGCCGTCCCTCCTGTGACTTCTTGGTGGCCCTCCGCAAGGAACATGCCACCCTCCCTGACTTAGTACAACTCCACCACGCATTTCGCACAGGGGATTTATCCTCCGACTACTCAGAGGTGGATGGCGTGCTTTGTTTTCGTCACAGGTACGTTTTAAGTTCCACTTCCTCTCTTAAAACTACACTGCTCCACGAGTTTCATGCCACGCCACTCACGGGACACGCTGGCGTCAAGCGCACGTTGGTTCGGCTTTCTGCGTTATTTTTCTGGCCCAGGATGCGCAAGGATGTAGAGAGTTATGTGGCCGCTTGCCTCATTTGCCAACAAATCAAACACTCCACCCAAGCGCCAGCAGGATTACTTCAACCGCTACCGATTCTGACTTTGGTCTGGGACGAGGTGACTATGGACTTCATAACCGGCCTTCCATTATCGCACGGATTCACAGTTATCCTGGTGGTCGTGGATCGCCTGACAAAGTCCGCTCACTTCGGGCCGCTGTCGTCCCAGTTCACAGCAACAAAGACAGCCGACCTCTTTGCTGAGATGGTGGTAAAACTTCACGGGTTTCCCAGTTCAATAGTCTCCCACCGAGACCCTATTTTCATGAGTAACTTCTGGCAGCAGCTGTTTGCCCTGAGTGGCACGACCCTTCGCCATAGTACTGCGTATCACCCACAAACCGACGGCCAATCAGAGGTGGTGAACCATGGACTGGAGCAGTATTTACGTGCTTTTACTCAAGAGAAACCGCATGCTTGGGTCACGTTTTTGAGCTGGGCCGAATTTTGTTACAATTCCAGCTATCACAGCGGCTTAAAGATGTCTCCGTTCCAAGCTTTATACGGCCGTGTTCCGCCTACTATTCCGCCGTATTCACAGGGCTCTACTTCAATCCAAGCACTGGACGAGGCTCTCTTAGAGCGTGATCTCCTCCTGCAGACCCTGAAGAATAACTTACACTTGGCCCAGCAACGGATGGTCCAGAAAGCCAACGCTCATCGCCGGGAGCTTCAGTTGGCAGTGGGAGACAAGGTACTTGTTCGACTCCAGCCATACCGCCAGATCTCAGC